CTATTCAGATCAGCATTGAAGGAAAATACTTAAAATACAGAATTTTTTTACACACAGGCAGCTTCTGACAACTGCCTTAACACTGCCCTAGGGACGCTAAAGTCACTTTGAGGGACTGTATGGAGCCTTTTAAAAAAAACCAAGCAAACTAATGAAGGAGAAGTGTTAAGGGCTACCCAGTAAGGTAAGCACAACACGCTAACTGCACTGCTGTGACGGGAAGGGTTACGCTGAAGTCAGCACTGCCAGATGACAAGTTTCTATTCATTTTTAGAGCCTGAACGACTGCTAAGCAACAGTAAAGATTCACAGACACGAAAAGGTATATTGCTGATTTCCCCATACCATAGCTTGCTAAGCCTGCCAAATGAACAACAATCTAATGTAGCCCCACCAGCTTCCATTAATACTAGGTGAGGATCTGGCCTCCCCTTTTTAATAGCTGGACTAATTAAGCTGGAATTCTGTCACTCTGTCTATTCGAACTGGCTACAAAGAGGTCAATGACAATTCGTAAAGGCCACCCATTCATAAAGAAAATACAAACATACTTACGTGAAGGAACCCAAATTTTCTCCTATTTCATTAGGGTATAATTTACTTTTCAAATAAATTTAAATTTGTTTCTTTATGTATCACCTACTTATGAACTACACTTTCTGAAATAACGAGCAATGCAGATCAGCCACTACAAACCAACCATAAAAAATTATGAAAACATTCAGGTATCAGAGATGAGATATATGGGAGGTATTTTGGCATCAAAAGTCCTGTAAGAAGTAGGAACTAGCACTGCTCAGAACTGTAAGAGCTAAGACAGGATATAATATTTCAGATGGTCTAAAAGTTGCGTTAGTGCCACTGACCAGGCTCCCCTCTGAACCGCACTTTTTAACCGTGCTACAAAATAGGGACAGATAAAACTGAGGCTATGGCTTTGCATCCTGGAGAAAATTGAAACACATGGAATAACCTCTTAAAAAATAGTTACATGAACACCGCATCTGAAACAAAAAGTAATTTTATTTTGGAATAATTACTCCAGTGGAATTATTTCACATGGGCAGCTATTCTGAGCAGGATCTGTGGTAAAATAACTGTGGAATAATATCTTCTATCACAAACACATGCTAATAAGTAGCTCCAGAGATAGTCTTAAAAGGCGTGTAGTACTAAAGGAGGACTAAAAGTAGAATTCAACCAGACTGAGTAGCAACAGGAAAAAAAACAATCAGATATCTACCTATGATTTCCCATATCAACTTATGCAGTTTCACATCCAAATTTCCTTCTTAGAAAAGAAAAAAAAAATCAATGCCCCTTTCTCACTCCAACTAGCTCCTATAAAAAGGAAAATAGCTTAAACTGATCTTGCACATGAACATAGATTTAATTCTACCACCTGAAGCAAACTAGTCACCAGCTTCCAAAGTGTCTGATAGGCCAAACTTCAAAGACTGATTATAAACCCAACAGAACAAAAAACCAGAGAATGTAATTTCTTATTCATTTTTTTAAAGGGCAAATTGTTGTTCCCCCTCCCCTCTGCCCCCTTATAGCAATTGCAATATTATTTAAAGAAACCACTAGTGATTTCTTGTGATACATTTCAAATGTTTCTCCCTAGACCACATGAGAGTCTTTACGTCATTTCATCTGTTCCAGCAAATCTGAGAGGATCCAGCAGAACATAAGCACTGTCGAATAAATTGTATTTCAGGAGAAGAATCCTATGACTCTTGAAAATCTGATTTTTCATAATATCAACGCACAAAATTAAAAATAGAAATATGTAAATTTTCTTCTTCAAGTAAAGTGTATTCTGGTGTGCTGCTAATAACCATTACCTAGGAAAGTAAGTGAAAATATGACACCCTCATACTTATCATGTGCTTAAAAGCTCATCAGCATCTACTGAATGCTTCAGTATGAAGCATAATGTGTACTCAAAAACCTCTATACACCCAGACGTTTGTTTTCAAGGCACAGTCTATGGGCTAAATGAAAATCAAGTGTTCCTCTGGATCAGGCTAAAATAAAACTTGGGATCTTTTTCCAGGCACTGTTATTTCTATCATTAATTTTATATGACAATTCACAGAACTACAATGTAATGAAATCCTTCCAAACGCGAAGGGAAGTGCAATGTCTGATATTTGTTTCACTTAGGATTACATTTAAAAACTGTTTGTTAAGGAAAATTTCTAGAAGAAAACTCCCCACTAACAGGATAAGATTTCTGGAGAAGATGCACAGTGGCAGATGTGCAGAAGTTCTTGTAAGAAATATGATGCTCTGTTCAAAGCTGCTTAAACTTGATTTTGTTTCAGGTCTGCAACTAAATTTTTTTTGTAAATAGATTTAGGCTGTCAATTTCCAGGCATGCTGTGCCATCAGCATGTAGAGACTGCTGTGACAAACGTGGAGGCTGTAGCAGCAAATTTTATTATAAACTGGTAATTGAATTGAACAGGTTTACATTTGAATAGATTTACTGCAGCATGATTTTTGACATGCTGCATGGGACTGAAATCCTTGTCTGTACATAAAGAAACATTTAAGATACACTGAGCTGAAATAATTCTTTTTGCTAATCAATAAATTTACACTTTACACATGAAAGAAGTAAGTATATCATCTTTCTTCATTCTGTGCACAAAGGATGTGGTCAAATCGAAAGCCAAGAACCCATCCCCAGACTTTCCCATAGGTGAAAACAACACCACCTGTCTCCAAAACTACCTTCCAAAAGAACAAAAGAAAAAATATATCTCTATTTCAAGTACAGTTCTAAAAGCGCACTATGAATCAGTATGGTTTCAAAAGTAAAATTGGCCACTAAAGTGGGAAAGAAAACAAAACGCCCTTGTAGGTTACTGTAGGTTGTCCTCTATCAGGTGGTAGGTAGGCAATACCTGAAAAGAAGCAGCTTGCTCTCCTCTAGATAAAAAGACTCAGTAATTAAAAATAAGTAGAAATCTTATTGTGTCTTCACAGAAGGACACCCATGGTAAGAGTGGAAAAACTATGATGTGCCCAGGAGTGGGGCTAACAAAGGAACCTTCTTTTCAAACAAATAGTTATTTTGTCATTGTAGAACTTTCAGAAAAAGGTACTTTTAGGGTAGACAATTTATGAAATTCTAAGAAAACCCGGGGGACTGATTTGCATCCATAGACAACGATCATTCATTCAAAAAGTCTGATTCATAATGTGCATGTGAATTGTCTCACTCGAGTATCTCAGTTACCAAAATCATGCGCAGAAACATACTAAATCTGCACACAGTTTTGGTAACTGAGATAATTACTCCTTTGTAGAAGAGTCACTTAATTTCCTCTTGCAGTCCCCGAAGCTGCACACAGACCAGATTTTTAATGATACATGTTAATAGATGTGCAGTGGTGCCCTCAAAACTTTAAAAAAAAAAAAGGTATAAACCAATTCACCTGTATGCACCCTTGGTAGCACTGTTCGTTTCCAAACAAGTTGCTCAGTGTATCTGCATAGTAGATTACTAGTGTTACGGAGTCTTATCTCACTAAAAAAGATGTTAAGTATAGTCTCTTTCAAAAGGTACCATAATCAAGACATTCCTTTCTTTCTACAGTTTATCTAAGCATCACAATCTTTAAATAACTGCTTCCAGTGGTCAGTTGTATGAGAATTTTGGCAAGGAAGGAACCATCCCATCACCACTAGAAGACAGGGTCAAATCCTGCCGTTCCTACTGAGGCAAAATCTCCACTGAACCTGACAGGAGTTTTGCTCAAGTAAGACTAAGGACAGCAGGATTTGGCTCACAGGATCATAGCATCTGCCAAAGCAGTTGCAAAGAACAAGGTTTATTCTTAGCAAGTATAATCCAATAAGAATATGTCTGAAGGTGCGTGATAGGCCTAATTTGTCCATCATCTCTCCACTGGTCTATGTTGTTCTTGGATTTTACCTTCATAGCTGTATACTTAAACCTGTTTTAAGTTACCAAATGATTTGCAAAAATCAGCTATCTGTTAAAGTTGACTTTATAAGTATCAACAAAGCAAAATTGTGTGGGACTACTTTAAAGTGGTTGCTTAACAAAATGCTCTCTACTGGAGACAAGATTTACAAACATTACACCGATTTGATTTTAAAAGTTTATCTAGCTCAGAAGTACAATAATATACAGTATTAATGTATACAATAATAATGTATACAGTACATGTATATAAAAGTGTATTTTTTGCATATAAATTAACAGCAATAGAAGTGCATGAAGGTGACCAAGATTTAATGAATTGTCTCTTCTGTAAGACAGATGAATCAGGTTCCAGATGAGATAATACTGTTTCTTTAAAACATTTTATTACATTTACCTGTTATTAAATATCTTCGGCATATAACTGACAAATCAGAACACTCAGCATATACTTACAGTGAGGGGCAGGAGTTCTCACATGCTTTAAAGAAAAAAAAGAGGGGTGGATTCTCCTCTTCTGTGTGACATTATTTGCTCCACTGTACTCACAGTAATTTCAGTAGACATACTCAAGATTTATACTTATTTAATTGAGAAGTAACCCCTTCGTTTGTCGCGATGAAATGAAGGCTGAGTTAAAATAGGGAAAAGAAGGCAGTGTGCATTTTTGCCAGAACTGGGACAGACTAGCGGTGGATAAGGAATGGGTGAAAGACAACTTTGAGAATGCATGATGTTAAAGTCTTAAGGAAAATTAGAGGATATATTTTGATGATTATTCTATTAGTTACCTACTGAAGGAGAATGAACGCTGGGGTACATTTTGCTGTATTCCACACAGAAATATTCCACAGAAGATTAACTCTATATAGACAAACCTTGATTCCTTAGCCTAGAAACAGACTGTCAGGAAGAGCAAGTATACAAGAAAATTTACAATTACTGATCAGAAAGCTCACCGATCTCTCTTCTGTCCTGATTGCCCTAGAATGGTTGCAAGTGTTTGCAGAGAGACAAATATTGACTTGATAAGTCTTACCTTCTTTCAGCATGCCAACTTTTAGACACTTCATGAAGCGGCAGGCTTGGCAGGACTTGCGTCTGCGCTTTGTGATTTCACATTCATTCGTTGCTGGGCAGCTGTATTCTATGTTACCTGTAATAGAAAGGCCAAGAAAAGAGAGTTACTCAGAATGGCTGACTAACCAACACAATCGATATACAAAGTACTCATAAAATTGCTGTTGTGTTTAATTTTGGAATATATCAAGAGTAAACAATGCCATAGAAACACCTTTCAAGTAAAAATAAAAGCTGGGTTAAAGGATAAGCTAAAGGATAAGAATAACCTTCATGTAGGTTACTTGCCTTGGTAAGAGGGGGAAATCTTGTCATTGACTGTCTGTACCAAGCCACATGCTTAGGTTCCTAGCCTGAGCACTCTTTGTTTCCTTTTTTTACCAATTTCATCAGTCTTTCTTTGAATAGAATATGAAAAGGAGATCCTTGAGCTTTACTACACCATCAACTGTAACAGGTACTCCTGAGCCTTCTCCTACAACAAGAGGCACAGCGTACCAGGCAGGGCTCACGAGCATTGCTTACCACCACAGCTAGCACATTCTACGGCTGCTGGGGCAGATCTCTCAGGACATCTCCCCTTCTCTATATATTTTAGACAGAGTTCTTGTACCAAGAGGCATCAGAAATAGGATCATTCTTAGCAAGTGGTCAGAATGACAAAACCTCGGGGAGATTCTTGCCTCTGCCTTCCCCAACTCCCCTTAAGGCCTAGAGCAAGCTAGATCCTTAAATGTAAGCCCTCCTGGGCAAAGCACTGTCTCCAGTTTTCTTCTGTTTTTGTTACTGCTCAGTATATATTATTTATCCTCAAAAATAAGAAAAAGAAGCCTGAAAATTAATGGGTAAAATACAGATGAGTAATATTCTTTACATTTTAAAAAATCACATCTTTGGTAATCTAAGTCCAAATGGGAGAAGGTCTGTTCTCTTTTGCCCTGGTACCACTGCAATTTTCGTAAAACAGCTTAGCTCAGCCTATTCATCTGCCCAGCCATGCATCATCCTATTGCCTATGACTACATTCAGTAAGACAGACTTTGCAGCAGTCAGAAGCTTCACTACGAAACTGACTTTTAAATAAAGGATCTTCCCCATCAGCCTGTCACATCTTGCTTTAAAGGTATTTCTTTACTTTCTAACCCTTTCCCCCTGTGATTAAGTGCATTAGTATCTTAATGAAAATGCATTCTGTTTATTGCCCTCTTGGGAAGCAAGAGGTCATCACACCAAATGCATAAATTGTCATCAGAGACAGTCCGAGCATAATTGCAATTTTGCTGCTCCATGTTTGCTGCACTCAGGGTTTGTCAAAGTCCCCTGCAACATGCACAGGTTCTAATAATTAGCATAGAGTCTGCCTGGGACCACAGCATTGATGAAATATTTCAGAGTTAATCACACTTTGTAAACACTGATTTATATTGACTACCTTTCTCCAGACTGATGTCTCCTCATTAAATATCACATTAGTGGATTGCAGGGTTGCACAAAGACTCAAATGCTCAGCAACTGCTAATTCAACGGGAAGCAATACTTAAACCACTTACATCTATTGAAAATTGGTTAAGTATTTATGATAAAGGAGATCTGCATGGTGCAATGTATATTCTGCCAATACAACCAGCATACTTTGCACAACCCTTTCAGGCCTTTGCAGGTGTTCTTCCTCCTGAATATTGCTGCATGACTGACTTAGCGATGCTGGCAAGTAAAATAGACCTTGGTATGTCTGAATGCTAATGATTCTTGTTGACAAAACTCAAACTTCAGTTTAGTTCTCTTCCGCCTCCTTAGCACCTGGGAAGACAGCTATTGAAGAAACTGAAGGATATGGTGGGTAGGAAATTCAGCACAACAATTCCTGCAAAACTTCTTTCTGATATGCATTAGTGAAGTTAGAAAATATCAATTCTGGAGGATACATAGGAAAGGAACTAAGTGCAACCTTAAAAAAAAGATTCACGTTATCCTCTCATACTCTAATGGGGCATTCTTAGTGAGGCACAACCACTGCACAGGGAGACCTTCAGAGCCTTTCACAAACTGTATATAATTAAGTTCATCATATTACAGTAATAAACTATTCCTATCTAAAAAAAAAAAAAAAAAAAACAAAAAAAAAAAAAAAGAAAAAGAAACAAGGAATAAGAATTGCACAAGATCAAACATATCTTTCCACTAGGTCAGAAACAATCTTGATCAAAACAAAACTGAGATTACAACACAGAACTTCAAGCAGCAAAGCTCTGTACCAAGGCAAGAGGAGCACTCCTGCTATAGCCAAAGCCCTTGTGCAAAGGCACAGATGTCAACACCAAAAAGTAATATTCAAAACCAGAAAAATACAAACAAGATTTCTTATTTCCCTAAGTAGACACTTCTAATCCATAGCCTGATACTTTAGTTTTGCATAAAATCCTGTGAAACATGGCAAGGGCCTGTAGAGTGCAGCATATTATGCAGAGGCAATGTAACTTGTTCTTCCTGCAAATTCTTGTCACCCAAAAAAACTCTAAAATGAGCTATTATTCTAGTCACTAAGATTCCAATATGTTAGCTCAGAGGGGGAATCTCCTCCTATCAATTTAGCCTGCTGTACTTCAGTGAATTATATTTTAGAGCGGATGTTTAATCTTAACTTTTGATGTTAGAAAATAAACTCAGAAGATGTTGGAAAGAGTTCCTCGAATGAACTCAATATAGTTACAGTAACTGGATTTATTGCTGCAGCAAAGATCCACACCTTACCAATGGCCACAGCTGGTTCCCCTAAAGTGTTTCAGCATTTTAGAATACAGCTAGACCGCAGTAAAAGTTCAAGGAAACTAACATTTTGTCACCACTTTACATATGATTGTAGTATTTTATCAAATATCCCCATGGATAGACTTCATTTCTGTCAGTGAGTTTTCCTTAAAAAAAAAAAAAACACAAACCAAACCTGATGGAATTTTGCAATGGAAATGTACCTGGATACATATACTCAAAATTATTTTGTCAGCATTTAAAGTATTAGTGGATATATTTTTTTTGTAAAAACCTAAATTTACTGCACATTGCAGGTCATTACAGCTCTCATGATTTCTTATTTACTTCTCTGCACTAAAAATAGAGAAGGAGAAGTGTTTCGGAATCTGTACAATTTCATAGGTGCACTACATCCACTCAAGATGCTCAGATCTGCATTTTATTTCAATGAGGAAGATTCAGAAGGAATCCCTACCATTTCTTTGTCTCCTGCATGATGCTAGCGGCTGAAACTGAGCAGCCAGTAAGAGTACAAGTTGAGTTTGCCCAGCCCTGTCAACAGTTGGAGAGGTAGCTGTGTTATACAGTCAACAAAATCAACATGGCAGCTCTTGAGTCTTTAAACTCAACTGACAAGAGCGATCGAGCAATTTGTAATATCTCCTGGCTGGTTTTCAGAAAGGACTGGGCTCTGATTACTTATTTCAGAGCCTTTTGTACAATTAGTTTGCAGGCAATATAATTTTCTCACTTACTCCTTAATAGAATCGTGCAGCTAGCTGGCTGATAGAATAACAGAGTATATGTAAAACTCCTGCCTGAAGTGCCAGGGGATAATTTGTATATTCCTTTCAGTAGCGTAATGGACTTTTACAGTTTGGCAGTTAAAGGGCTGAGCAATGTAAATTAGTATGACGCTTGAAAATAAAAATATATGTCACATCTTCACTCCCCAAACACATTGCCCTGTGCTGTAATAATACAACGGGATTTATGCCAGCCTAAGTCCTTTTTCTCTCCTCATGCACTGAGGAACATTTATTTTAAAACAGTTCATTTTTTCTACTAATTTGTTAAATTTTATTATCTCAGACAAAAGATCAGAAAATATTCCTAACACACTGTGCCCACCAAGAGCAACTGACTCACAAGAAATACAATGCCATTTGATCTTGAAATAGCAGGTGAACTGCTTAAATCTACACTGCACAACCAGCTCTCTGGTTTTAGATGCTTCAGTCAGATCTTTACACACAGCTTGAGGAGAAGTGGGCCAAGATACCATTTTTTTTCCTCTCATAGATGTGGTTTGGAGGTTACCTGAAAGAGATGTGGAGTCATAGTACAGTTGTAATAGTACAGGGACTTACTAGATGGCTTTGCAAGCCAGGCAATCAATGAGACTTAGCCAAGACTCTCGAGGCCATTTTGGCCATTTCTTGCACAGAAGTGACAGCAGTGCTCAAAGTGACAGAAGAGGAGGAGTGAGAACCATGACAAAGGAGAGGCCACTGAAAGTACTGGGCCTTATGCCTTGGCATCTTATCCCAAATTAAGTTTTTATCATCAACACTTAGAACTTTAGAACCTCACAGGCATCAAGAATGTGAAGCTGGCTGTAGAAACTGGCTCCAGTCTGTGGGATAGGCTGGAACAGGGGTCTCTCTTCCAGAAATAATGACAAGAATAGAAGGTGCAGACAGTAGTTCTTAGCAGAAGCTTTATTTCCCTTTTCACACTGCAACATTTGATATAACACTAAAGATGGAAAAGGATTGCTATGAGCTGTTGGAATAAGCTCAGAAAATGTTTGGACAAGTAAAAGACATGAGGAAGACTGAGATACAGGGTGAAAATGTGTTTGAGAAGAGTGGCCATGAGCCACTTACAAAAGCAGGACTTAATGCTGAAGATAATAGTATTTAAACTTCTACTGTGTGGGAATGCAGGTCCAGAATAATTTAAAAAAAAAAAAAAAAAAAAAAAGGCAAACCAACAGAGGGGAATTGATTATTCCTTCAATGTAATAATGTTATGCTATAATCAGATCATGAAACTGTATTTCAGTATCTCTTTATATTCAATAATGCCCTATTTTTCTCCCAAGCTTTCTCTTTGAGCTTCTGTAACCTAATAGCTTTTTTCAAAAAGTTGCATTTATAAAGCAAGTGTTCTCATTCTTCTTAAGAGAGGCTATTGCATCATTCGATTTAAGTTTCTGCAGTAACATTTACCCCATGTATCACCTTCATGCTCTGTTTTCCTGGGTAACAGACCCAAAGGAATACACACCTGCTTGTCTGTGGACTTGCATGCATAAGAACT